GCACGATAAACTGGAAAAGATTGATACTGCAAGTACTATTTTGAAATGTTAAGTTAGTACTTAACACTTCAAACTGCTTGTACTACCAGTACTTATTACTATTCGCAAAAAGGTTAGTGCCATTTTCACACACTTCTAGTTTCGGATATCACCCTCTGAATACATGAAATTCTGTATGGAAATTATAACGAAGAAGTAGTTTAAAAATCTAAAACTTATATGTTCGTAATTTTAGACTTCGACAATTAACTTGACCGAAATTAAAATAAGTTTATTTTCAGCTTGCAAAAACAGAGATATTTACGAAAACTTGACATCAATTCGCTTTTATGTGAATATATATATATGATATAAATAGATAAGATAAAATGCTAACTTTAATTTATAATATTCCCTTACATCTTCTTTTCAGATTGGTTATTTTGCCCTTTCTCTCCTAAAACTACTAACTGTTTATTTTAAATCTCTCTATACTGCATCATTGTAAAGTAATTCTCCTCTCATGATTCTTATATAACGCTAATGATGACTTTTGAATTAATATGTCTGCCATCTTTCTCAAATGTTTTTTAATAAGGAGGTATACACTGTAAAATTACTAATTTTCTTAATCAGAAATACAGGAAAAAAACTCGTTTTCCATAAGCTTGGAATTTCCTTATTAATGATGAGCAAAAAATAAATTGGCTTTTTGTTTAGATATCATCAGGAGATTTTTCCAATTAAAGAAGTAATACTGTTGCATAAGCAGATCAGTAGCTCATATTTACGTAGATTAGGAGTTAAAACTAAATTCAAATTTTAATTCAGAAGTCAAACAACAAAAATTAGCGTTATATTTTCAAATTTTCACATGACTAGTTTTGATGGTTTTACCGAATCACCATCCTCAGCTGCAAAAGCGCAAATGAACGAGATAGGATATAATGATTAGATACGATAAGAAAGCCTGGACAGAAAAATAAGCTAGTTGCGCCATCTGTTGATTTGATGAAACCAGAACTAAAACGTAATTTCTTTAAAGGCCGAAGGCAAAGATGGATTGGAATTAGGATCATTAACTAAAACAGAAAGATTTTTTGAATGTGAAATGCCTCTAGAAAATCCAGTTCTCCAATGGAATATGTTTTTGAATAATTTTGGCAGCAGAAAAGTTGAAAGTGTGATTTTCGGACCAATAATGTTGGGCGAAATTTTAAGGCTCTCTTAGTTTGGCCAATGTAAATTAAACCAAACTGGCAAGGAATCCTATAAGTACCTCAGGAATTCATATCCGGAATGGGATCCTTGAGTATGGAACTCGAAATTTTATTGATGGGAGAATAAACGACTCGAAAGTTAAATTTCTGCAAAATATTTGCAACTTTATAGCTAATTGAATTCAATACTTTATAGCTTCAAATTTGTTCTTAATTTTCAAATTTTTCAGAGTGGTACTCTGAAATGAAATACATTAAGAAAAACGTTCCCGACGGATGATTTCCTTGAAGCAAACCGGTGTTTCCAGCCATCTTGGCCTATGAGAGCAGATGATTTATACAGCTTCATGAGCTTTTAAAATTTAATTAAAATTTGAAAATTTTGTATTTTGCATAGCCAAGATGTAGAATATCGATTTTCCAATTTTCAGGATGTTGATATGCTAGTGGAATTTGTAGTAAAACTTCTGTAGCCAAAGATCAAATCTAATTTGAAAGAAATTTTACGCATTAAACATATTTAATAAAAGACATCATTTCCACGTGTAAGCGTTCAAAATTTTAAAAATAATTCCCTCCACTATGCTAGACAGTCTCTTCAGTGTAATAACTCAATACATTCTTGGAAATAAAAAATATGTTTCTCTCCTTTTAAATTTTATTCTTAATTCATTGTCGATTTTATAAGTTGTTCTTATAAAATCGACAAGGTTGCATTACCCACTGAGCAGAATAAACCCATATCTATTACAGTATACATGTTGGCCATAATTAAAAAGGTTTGCTTAGAACACAAAGCCATTGGGCCTAATTCAGCTAAATTTGATATAAATACTGTTTTATATATTCGATTTTAATTTTTAAAAACAGTTTAATATTTTGGTGGCAGGTCAGGAATAATACTATAATCATTTAAAAAAAACGGTTGTTCATCAAAACATATATTAGGCAAATTTGAGAATGGCAAATTTGTTTGGCGAATAATGAAGGAGAAAATGAAGTAAAAATCAGTCACATGATTTTCATAGGACAGTTTTATTTAGCCAATTCAATGGTTCTTTCCTTGAAGTGAAACACTTATACTCTTCATAAACAATTCGTAATGGCACATTTGTTTTTCGATATGTCCCAGTATCTTTCAATCATATTTAGCCAATTCAATGGTTCTTTCCTTGAAGTGAAACACTTATACTCGTAATGGCACTTTTGTTTTACGATATGTCCCAGTATCTTTCAATCATGCAATCATTTTAAGTGGATTGGGAATTACGTGGTCCGTAATATTTGTGATAAATCTGCTGCGCATATGTGATAAATTCTCTTTTCTACTTGATAACTTGCATTTTCTTTCTCTCTTGTAAGATGCAGAAAAGATGCTTCTGAGTAAAGAAAAAATATTGTTTTTGGTTATTCAAAAACGGACACATGTGGAAATAGCAATGGTTGAGTTTTGCTAGGTTTTCACATAGTTTTAATAAAGTTTTTCAGAAAAGGCAAGAAGCGCAGTCCACATCAGACCAGTAAGCAAATTTCCCAGTGTAACTTTGAATCACGAACGCCTCTCTTCACAATCAATACGGTCCACAAACAAATTATTTAAACAAAAATCATCTTAGACGAAGAGCGTCTTAAATTAGGAACTCGTCAACAAGTCGGCAACAAATGATATTCAAAGACATTTTTATATTTATTATGACATATAATTAACCTAAAGGACTTCTCGAAGCTTCATTTTTAATATTATCCTTTGTTTAAATCTCATTATCGAAACGGAATCAAATGACTTGCACAGCGATGAACTCAGCTTGGAGAAAATTGTGGCTGGATTGTGTTGCAGGGAGAATTTGCGGGGTTTTGAATTATATTATTATTATGGTTATCTATGATATTCTGTCCTTAGGCAAACTTGACGTAAAAGTTAATAATTAATATGGGAATGAGTTACTAAAATAACATAAAAAGGAGATAAAAAAAGGTTCTGGAACAATTTCAGAAGAAGCAACGAAACGTGACTATGTTCTTCAGACGAAGAAGAAGGAAAAAAAGATTCTTATAGTTCCTTGATTCAAGTAACAATGTCGCCCTGATAAAACACCAGCTGATAAAACAAATCCCACTGGACAAATTTTGAGTGACGCGTAAGCCTTCTGTGTCTAGAACAGAGTCGAGGGACACTAAGATAAAGAAAAGACGTAGTTTCCACAGAAAAATATTATCTAATATCCGTGCAAAGAAGGAGACACTTCATACAAACAACAACATCTCTTTCCTTTCACTCTCTCGTCACTTTCTGCTTCGTTATGGGTTTATGAGCTTGTGAACAACAAGTTTACAACAGTTTTATAGTTTAAATAAGCTTTCATTGTAATCTATGAACATTACATTAATTCCTGTAAGAAAAATAGTTTCGGTTTACAAACATTTTGATTATGAACGGCCTTCGAGATCGAATTAAGTACGTGAATATTTTACTGTGCTTAAAAAGCTGCTCTTTGACTGGAATAGCTGGATGTTTTCAACTGGATGTTTTGACTGGAATAGCTGGATGTTTTCAAGTATCTAAAGCTGATCGGCAATACGTATGCAGTTCGTAACTATCAATTATTTATCATATCTTCAAATTTTAGAACGAACATTAAGCGAGGAGCTTCTCATATGGATAAATGGAGCAGAGCAACACCAAAGGCTTCAGTTCTAAGACCTGTGTACGCAAGACCACAGCTGTAATTTACTAAAATCTATAAGAACTAAGCTACAGAAGACTGGAGCAAGCCATTTGTTCTGATTAGTCTCGTTTCTGCTTTTAAAGTAATGATGTGAGATATAAAATGAGTCGCATGCTGCATGAAATTTCTTCGGGCTGCTTCTATATTCATATTTTGAATAAACGGGTACTGCGTTTTATGTTTGTTAACCGACTATGTTATTGCTTTTATTTTTACTGTTATTTCTACTTTTGTCGGCTTCTAACAGGATGCGAAATAATTAATAGGTATGAGAGTAGATCTCTTGAAGTTAAGAGAAAGAGAGAACTTGGCAGGGACCACTTAACTTAGCAGTATTACTTACCCTCATATCTTATATTTTACCTAAATTGTCTTTATTCTTTTGATAGCCGTGTTCTATGACTTAATTAGAGGGCCTGGGTCAACGCTTACAGTATAACCTTTCTCTTTGAATTTCATATTTTATTTGCTTAAGTTTTACACTAACTGTTCTGCTAAATCCCGCAAAAAGTGCTAAACTGTTGCATTAATTACACGAGACGAGTAAGTTGTTAAGTTGAAGTTCGAAAAAAATATTTATTTTAAACCTTCTTTGGAGTTCTTAGTTACTTTCACTATTCACTAAGAAGGAGTAAAAGAAGGTCACTAAGAAGGTCTGACGGTTGACGAGGTCTACGCAGTCAGGTGCACCTGACTGCGTAGACCACATCAAACTCAGCACCATGTCAAAACAGGCACGTCAAACTCAAGGCTGTCAATTCATTTTTCTGAGGCCCTCAGTTCGCTTTAAGAAAATAACGAAAAGCTGAGATTACCAGTGAGGCATCCCAGGAATTTGACCTTATTATGAAGGGTATTTATAGCAAACTTCGATGAATTAGGCCCTGGATTTTGTTCGCTTTTCAAAGTCTAAACATCACTTTAATTACGGCCATGTAAAATTAAATAAGACGCTAAGATCTACATAAATTTAAAATACATTCTACTAACCCTTTTTCTAGTAAATAAATTGTATTATACATTTTGGTTTAGAACTATTCCGATTGTGATGTCAATATCGAAAATCTATACTCACCCTTCCTCTTATCTTTTCAGGTAAAGCATACTTTATGACATTGTGGAAATGCTGATAAAAACTTGGTTGATTTACCACATGTATTTCTTTGACGGAGTAAGGTAAGCAATCCTAAAATTAGAAAAATAATTTCAAAGCAAATATATATTACAAAAGTATCTAGTTATGCTACCTGTAACATAGTTATCAAAGCATTGAATATCAACACTATATTTATTTCCACCCTCATACTGTATGGTGTTCTGTCACCACTATATCACTTAGCGTTTATATATAGATGTTTTTTCATGTTCTCTTAAAAATATTTCAAACGGTCTCTGCACCGGCTTTGAATAAATAAAGCTGCAGGAGAAACCCAGGGTAGCTGTTCAGTTGTTAGAAGAAAAATTATAAAAGTTAAGCGATTATCCAAACAATAATAATTTTTTTGCAAGATGAAATGAGTAATATTTTAGAGGACTTTCCTTGAATTTTTTTGAAACATTTCATTGTTTTGGTAGTTTCTAAACAGAGTTGGAGAGTACTTAACATGTGTTGTTCTTTTTATTATCTTCTTTTTCAGTCGTCTTTAAAATCGTTTTTTTTTTTTTTTTTTTTTTTTTTTTTTTTTTTTTTTTTTTGTGTGTGTGTGTGTGTTGTAAATATTTGAAACTTTGATGCAATTCTAGACCGCTAGACCGCTCTATTATATCAATCAATTTTCTATTTAACAACATATTCTGAAATCGGTGAAATGATGCATAAGGGCGAACCGTATTAATGATATGCAAAATTTTAAATACTCATCTCGTTGAAAAATGAAGACTAGCTTGCTTGTAGATCAATCATTGCGTAGTTAACTTGATACTTATTGATGCAATTTCTGAATTTTAATATTGACTTACCTTTAAGCAACTGAAGGCTAAGATTAAATACTTGACACCGATAAATTTAAGTAAGTTTTCCTGAGAAAAATCCTTAAAATCGTAGATAAGCACAGCCCCACATACAGAAAATGCTTCACAGTCACGAAATACCATTCCCAAATCCACAGCAAATGCCATAAGAGCATCGACGGAACTTTCTTGCCATTTAAATCGACCTGCAAATATTAGTACTCTTTTTCATGTCAATACATACTTACAGAAATAAAGATCATCTAATGTTAATGTGATTCTCTGCATGGAAATTCAGTCGAACCCGTTATAATGAACCCGGCATATAACAAACCCGAGGAAATAATAATACGAAACTTTAGATCCCGTTCAAATTCCTATGGACCTTTAATAATATTTTATACTGCTACAGTGAACTTCCTAAGATATAAAATAACGAACTACGTATAACGAAATGAATGGGTATTTTCGACTGAAGCTCTTAGCTTTTTTTTTTTTTTTTTTTTTTTTAATTTAATTATTTTTCCATCATTTCTGCAAGTTTTAACGAAAAATTCCCTACCTTTAAAATCAACCACATTTAAGATTTCAGACTCCACATTTCCCTCTGTAAAGGAAATAACATCACTTTTTTATGTTCAACCACAATCTCTGTGTTTTCTATGCAAAGACTACGGGAATCAGGTATAACAACCAATTTAGTGGAAAGAGGACTTCATATCTTAAGACACACTATGGCGTTCTTTGTGTATAGTGCATATGACCAGAGGACTTCATATCTTAAGACGACACCCTATGGCGTTCTTTGCGTATATTGCATATGGCCATTAAGCTAAAGAACGTAAGTGATTCCTTCGATTCCATTCAAATTCTTTAACTGAATTGTCTTACAGTGATCTATTGAAAGCTGATACTATGAAGGAACTTCTGAAATTTTCGTTATTGTGGGAAAGAGGAAGTAATAAATCCTCTGAGTTTTGGATTTCAAAGTTCATTTGGCTTTTAAGAAATGAAAATCTTTTACCGTTATCTTATTCTTTTCTTCTTTTAGCCCAAATGAGCGTTAGCCCGGATGGGCTATTAGTCTTGAAACAGACTTTTGCGTCATCCACTATAAACAGCGAATCAGTTTTCAAATTGTTGCCACTAAATACTGCCGCCCTGTGTTATCTTTAAAAATTAAATAATGAAAACTCTTCACGGATGTAAGTACGTTCCTCGCATTGTAAAAAACCAACAGTACCTAGAGTCATCAAATTTTGAATAACATAGTCCTCCACCCGAACATGGGCACCTGGAAGCCGCAATTTCGAATTTTATATTTCATATTTTGTGAAACTGTAATTAATTTCTGATTAAGAAACTCAGCGATTTGAAAAACGAGCAGTGGCAACACTGCACGCAATAAAACATTTCTATCTCCAGCCCGAGAGACTGTCTGCCGGAAATTCAAAGATATGCTGTTTCTAAATATTTTGCGATTTTAGTGTTGAATTGAAGTTTATGTCACATAAGTGAGAAGAAGGTGATATCTAATAAATAAAGTTATCACACCAAACGTTTATAATAAAAAAGCACAAAAAATTTCGTAAGTTATCTTACTAAGAAAATTGAAACATTGATCTGATGAACTGAGAAAAGACTGAATAAAATAGAAAACACCAACACTTAACACAGCATCGGGAATTCTAAACATATGCTTCTATCTGCTTTTAGAATTTTTGTAATTTTGGTGTTGAATTGTATATGGGGTAAGTGCGAAGAAAATGGTGCTTAATAATAAAGCTAGCAGGAATGAGTGAAACAGCAGACTGGTAGACTGAGAGCTCAGTTGAAAGCGCAAAAAACTTAACAAATCCTTTTGGGTGATGGTTAAAATCTGAACTTTTTCTGTTTTTTTTTTTTTTTTTTTTTTTTTTTCCTGTGTCCCTTTTTTACTTTAAATGCGATCCAAATTGGGGCTTTCCCATTCTTTTGTCTAACATCCTAAGTAAAACTCAAATGTAAATTCGTCAATATTTTCTGTTACTCGTTTTCATACAAATACAGAGTTTGTCCGAAAAGTAGTAGGACGGAATTTTCTTTTAAAAATTTATTCACAATTTGACACATCGCATTAATAGTTTTCAAAATATGCCCCTTCTGCATTCTAGCGACTCTGCCAATCACTGAAGGCTCCCTGGAACGCAGAAACTGGAATGCTTTTCAGCTTTCTCGTTACGGCCTTTTGAATGACCTGGACCGAACTGTGTTACTATCTTTTTCTGTCGAGGGAAAAGTCTGAAGTAGCGACATCTGAGAAAATGAGCGCCTGCGTCCTTCCAGCAATCGCTGGATTATGGAGGCTGGTATTTCGACAATGTGCCGAGCCAAATCGTCTTTGCTGTCATGGACTTCCTGACCAAACATTGCATCACACAGCTTCCCCAGCCACCCTACAGCCCAGATGTGGTTCCTTCAGACTTTTGCCTCTTTCCCCGACTGAAAAGGGCCATGAAAAAACTTCATCAAGGCTCAGTCCAAGCCATTCAAGAGGCCGTAACGAGGAAGCTGAAGAGTATTCCAGATTCTGCGTTCTAGGGAGCCTTCAGTGATTGGCAGAGTCGCTAAAATGCGGTGTTCATGCAGAAGGACCATATTTTAAAATATATAAAGTTGATGTGTCACGATTGTGAATAATTTTTTTCTTAAAAATTCAGTCCTACTACTTTCCAGACAAACCCTGTACAAAAACACTGTTATTTTATTTTTGTGAGATAATCCATGTATTTTATCGAATCGGAAATAGTGAAACAAATTTCAGTTTTTCCTTAAGGTCGTTATATCGGGGTTCGACTGAATAATATTTAATCTTTTAATTTTAATGTTTATATTTTTATGAATTTCTTACCTAGTTGACAAAGGACAATACCCCTACCATAGGAGTCAATAAAAGGCATTGGTGAGTAACAGTTCATTTCTATGACCTTTTTATGATCAGAAGGCAGAAAATTAGTAAAAACACCAGAATGCTTCTCCTTAAAGAAATAATAATTTCGTAATGTTTTGAAAGCTCTTTCGACATTATGCTTCTTGTTTCGGAGAAATAGCAGTAGAAATTGGTCTTCCATGAAAGGGTAGAAATCTTGTTCCTCTGCAAAATAAAAATAAATTTTTAAATTAATTCTTTTTTGTACGTCTTTCAAGAGACTGCTCAAAAGAGACACATAAATAAGAAACAATTATTATCAAAAATTCCCTTTAGAAATGAAATATGTATCGTTTAGCTGTAGATTTTTAATGCTGTAATTGTAGTACTGATTATTGTAAAATTAAATTTTAGCATTTTTATATCAGTTTTTTAATGTTATTTATATTTTTTACTGAAATTTCAAATATGTATTTCATTTTTCAAATCATAAGAACTAAGACTGCGCAATATTTAATGCATAAATGAGAACTACAATAATATATTTTGGGGGGAAGGATTTTAACTTTTAGTACTGAAAAAAACTTCAAGTATTTTAAGATACATGGTTTATTTGAAACCTATTAAGCAAAGCGGTGAAAGTACTGAGAACAATTACACTTCAGTTAAGATATGAAGTGTCCCCATCAGCAAGAAACCTGTATGCTCAGTAAATTTCGTTATGCATACTATGAAATATTTAAGTAGTAACGTGAATAAGAATGAGTCAAGGCAGGAAAAAACAACGCATTAATGTGAAACACACATAAATTATGCTAAACTCTACTGAGTACTGCAATGCTGAAAACGATTCTTACTACAAAACAAGCCATTTAAGATGAAGATAGGTTCATTGAATATGTATTAATTATACTTATCTGTAGCACTAGCTTTCAGGGGGACGCCTTCATAAAGGAAAACGACATAACGATGCCCCTCTCTTATGCAAGTCAGAATCCACTGTTCAAAAAGAGAAATCTTCATAACAATGCTGCAATGTAAAAGAGCTTGCATAAACCGAATATCAATTTCTTATATGAAACTGATCCGCACCCTTATGAAAAAGACTGGATTTTTATAAAATTGTTCACATCTTTATGAAAAACACCATATTTGCATAAGGAAGCCGATATTTTCGTCACAGTTTTTAAGTTGTTCTTCTCAGATGAGGAATCTGGTATTTCAGTAAACTAAGCTATATTTTCACTCAATAACAAACGACTATACAAGCAAAAGCTAAAACGGAAGTATATACACTATATTAGTTTTTTTTAACTTAATATTTTATTTTTTAAATCTGGAAAGAACACAGATCATAAATTTAATAAATATTTCTTATACTAAATCTTCAGTATTTTATCAGATATTCAATTTTTATACGTTCTGTCTAACAATTTAAATATCCTCTCTGATTTTCTTTTGGCTATCGATGTGGGTATGAATTTCAAAGATAAAGAAGAAATTTTGCTGTTAGAAATATATAATTTAGAGCTTCCCAATTTAATATTTACTTTTTTATTGTTTTCCAATTTTTCAGCATCGCATCCTACGAGTTGTCTAGAAAAAATAAAGTCGCTCTCTAGATATTCTCTAGAAAACGTTGTTGTCTATGAAAGAGAAAGAATTCACAAGAAAATCAGACTATGATGAATCAGCAATAAATAAATATTAATAACTACCGAAAATAAACTAGTTCATAATTTAAATAAATATTCCTAATTATAAAACAAAACAAAAGGTGTTAAAATATTTATTCACTTTTCATCAAAACCCATATTTTGGGAACCACTATTCTAGTTCATTCAGTGCTTGAGATAGCATTTTGAAAAAGCTGAGCCGCCTGTTCCTAGAATAGAGCTCAAATGCAAAGAAACATTTTATATCTACAAATAATTTTTCAGCGGTAGAAAAGGATAATGCTTTTTCATGAAAAGGTGGAAAGATTTTAATAGCAAGAATAAGGAAAGTTAAATAAATAAAAAAATGAATTTTAACATACGTTAATAATGTGGTTCTGTACCATTATAATACCTCAGAAATTGTAATTTTTAACGTCTTTTCCGATACTTCATTTTGCAAGCGTTTAATCATTCTAAACAAAATATTACAGGAAGAGAAAAAAATTATAGGAATGAAATTCTAAATAGCATATATTATTAAAAAGGATATTCTGAGTTTAGTGTAGGCAAGATAAAGAAAATATTTAATTTAGCTTAAGAAAAGAGGGAGGAGATTATTTTACAGAATACTTTAAAATGTATCTCATTAAAAAATAATGTTTTCTTTGTTCAGAATAAATCCTTTTAATTCAATAGTTTCTTGAATTAAATCTTCATAGCCGTATAACTCGTATATAGAGAGAGAGATTTTTTTTTCATTTTGCACTATTATTGTATGTTACAGGAATGAAGAAGTTTATATCTAAAATTTTGAATCGAAATTTTTTTAATTCTTTTCTTCTAACTCAGCAAATAATCCCCCCTTCTCATTGCGTTATTTAAAAAAGTTCAATTAAATATTCATACCGTGCTGTATTTTTCGCCTCCTGCATGAAATTATCAAATTAGGATCGTAACCTTTATCTTTTATTTAGTAAACGAAAAGCTGCATCAAGGATAACTATCTCTGTTTGGAATAAATTAATTAAATATAAATTTTATATAATATTACACACAAAAATGTCAATTTAATATAAATGGCAACTTTTGTTAATGAATTTAATATGCTTGCTTTTCGGATACTTCCCCCACCGTAACTTGTGTCAGTACCTTCAAAGGCAGTCCAGATTGTTTAAAATTGATCACATATAGTTTGAACTCAATTCCTGTTTCCATAAAGTCCGCGTTTTTCATAAAGCTGTGAAAGATTCATTTCGTCTTCTACTTAATTAATTAATTAGTAACTGAATCGAAAACAGAACATGCATAAGGAACTTTATGGCAACGTTATAAAGGGGCACCGTAATGGAGATTTCTGTCTTTTCAAATGACGACAGACTGGCACAACGGTCTTAGGAAGCGGTGCTCTTTCAGTTATCTCCTATAAGCAAGCACATAAGAAATTAAATTACAGGTTCACTGATTGCTGCGTTTTCAGATTCTGCTTTCATGTACTTTTAATTAGCCAGGAAGAAATTTCCTAATCAATAAAGTTCAGAAAAGTCGACTTGCAGCATTGTTCAATTTTAATCTGAAATTTCGGCCTAGCTAAAACTCTAAATATGCCAAATTATAGCATTTTTGCTGTGTATTTAAACTCCTAACATTATTATAACTTATAATAAGAATTTTTTGCTTTATATAATGTAGTTTTGTTTAGTTTTTAAAAGTTTATTTTTTGTCAGTTACTTCTCAACCTTTGTATAAATTTTATCTACCTTCTCTTATATGACTTTTTTAACTGAAGACCTAATAATTAGAAACTTTTAATATAATTAACTAACAACTGATATATTGTTAAAAATATGTAACTTATTATTAAAAATATTTAATATTAAAATATTGAACTGACATCCTAGTGATAAGAAACTTTTTAAAATAATTAAATAATAACTGATATATTGTTAAAAATATGATTAAATTATAAGAAATTTATGCGAATTTGCGATTTTCTTCGCATTATTTTGCAATTTAGTAAGCACTGTGTATAAATGTATAAAATTATAAATTTAAATTTAGAAATTCAATTACATTAATTTTCTTAAAATAATTCTCACTATTTTAAAAAAATAATAAATTCATTTACTATCTCGTAGAATTTCCTTTTAAAAATGTCCAAAATGCTAAAATATTTGAGAAAATTAGCTTTCAACTGCTACGATATTTAATGAGGTTCCGAAAAAGTATTTTTTAAAATTTGAATTGGAAATTTAAAAAACGAAATTGGAAATGATGAGGTATCGACTTTACCGGTTCAGTTTCGCTTTGATATCTGTGTTGATTGAAATTAAGATAGAACGTTCGTAATCATAAGCTTTATTTTAATCGTTAACATAAAAACTGTCAAAAAATTTTACGATATTTTAAGAAACAAATCTTTACTCGTTAAAACATGGAAATTTACATAGTAAGTAGGAAGACATAATTTTCTGCAGATAGAGGCTTAGCGAAGCATTATTATTTCCGATGCACATAACAGCATTTAGATACTTACTTGCTATGAGTTGTTTTATTTTTTCTAAAGAATTCTTCCTTACAAGAGGTGTTTCACCAAGTTCACTTACTAATTTTATTTCCATATCAGGCGTTAAGCCTTCCGCATAAATCGACACAAGAGCCATTTTTGCACTTTTTATCCAACAAAACTAATCAATCGCAATAATGCAATGATGAACTGAGAACTTCAGATTATTTTATGAGTGATGCGAGTTAGCAAAAAGTAAGCGCAACAATAGTCAAACACTTATGTGTGAAGGAAATATACATTTTATTCTTCTGAGATTGTTAAATGTTTATTTTAGCTTTTATATAGTGTTATTAATTCCCTTCCGATCTAGATGTCCTTGGATTGTGTGCCTTTGTTTTCCTTTCATGCGCCACTTATTCCTCAAAGAGTAATTTCAGCTAATAATAGTAATAACGTATATTTACTGCAAATTATAATACAAAGTAAAACAAGCTTTCTAAAAAATAATGTTTGTAAGTTTCAAGAATTCAGACAGTAAGAAAGTGAGATTGCAAGATATTAAAGACGGAAATTATTTGACGTCATAGGTAAGTAAGAAACATTTTACTATAAATATTTTTAAAGAATTAAATGAAAACCTTTTTCTTTAGACAAGACAGAGTTCATGAACGGAACAAGGACCAAAGCGTATTGGTTACATAGAACCTTTGTAAAAAAAATTACAATAACCTCTACGTCATCGAGATGAAATTGAAATAAATAAGAGACAAACATTAGATAAAGGACGAGAAAATACCGTTACAAGTTAAAAAGGACTTGATTAAGAGTAGAAATGAACAACGCAACATAGTGGTTGGGCCACCCAAACGGTATAGTAGCTACGGGAGCCTACCGCGACAACGAAAGGCCCAGGTTCGAATCTCGGAGAAGGCATGGATGCTTGTAAATGTATAATGTCTTTGTGGCATGGGAGGGCTTATCATCATCTTTATCACATTAAGTTACACAGAGGTTGAGCACTTTGAAGTTGTCGCTACTTGTCGAAGCTGAAATGTTTGTTGAAATCTTCAAGCTTTCGTATAGAAATATAGATCTAGGACCGGCCTAAGACTCTTCCGTTGTCCTGGTCAATCAGGCATGGAACAATCTGCAGATTATACGAGTATTAACTGAGGATATAGTAACAACACAGAGTAGTTAGGAAAGGCTCGACATTCTGCTTCGAAAGAGACCGATGATATATTCTTCAAGGCAAGGAGGTAAGCAGACAGTTAAAAACGTCTGCAACAAGAAGTAAAGCTTCCCGGAGCCGGTATATTTTAATTGTATTACATGTTATGTTATGTGCCTTAGCTACGTTATGCGCTTTGTTAACACATTATCTGTATTATTCATTATATTATATATTTTGACATATTATCAGGTTCAATGTTTCTTCTAACCTTCTTCGGAAACATACAATGACCTGACTAGAACAGAGAGCTTACTAAAGCTATGTTCACTAATTGTAGTAAGTAGACAGGATACAGACGAAGGGTATACAAAACCCTTTATTTTTTTCTTTATATACAATGACTTCCGTACTTCCGAATACAATGACCCTCCACTCGGGGTCTAACTTAAAAGATATCAAAATAAAACTAAACTCTAATTTAACTTTAGAATAAGATTGGCCTTATAATAACAGGAAGCGTATGTAGCACAGAGACTGTGAACACTACAATACGTTTAATTTATCAAGAGGATTAAAACCTCTGGCCTGGAAGGCAAAGTAGCAACTGCGTAACTTCTAAGGTAAGCGGCCTGCTTCGAACTCACTGGCTTCCTCTCTTCTGCTTGGCAAAAAGGCCACACTTAAATACTTGGCGTTCGCCAGACAAACTTTGCATAAAAACTCCTTCACGCTTATAATTCTGGCCGGAAGTAGAAAATAAGAAGTGATAGTAAAGATTTAAAATAAAATAAACGTTAGTAAAACTTAAGATCCTTACATACTTCCCGCCAGAGTTAATTAGTTTGAAACTGAGGTCTAAAACGACCTTGTTGAAAACTTTTAGCTCTAGAATCTAACGCGAGGCCAACCTTTTACAAACATAACTTAGCTAGAAACTAGAAAATTTTAAAAGAAAGAAATTTGTTACAATAGCAGCTCCCAGGATATACAACAATCTTTTTTCTTTTTTCATCTGTACTGCATCTAAACAGGAGCTTTATTCAATTCTGGTTCCTTCCAGAGATCTGGAAGGAAAACTAGTTTAATGAAATGTTACACAATGACATTGCAAATAACATATAGAATATACTTCTTAACATTCTTATTTCATTCATGACTATTTTAATTATCTCTCCCCGTGCTCTCTGACATGTGTTGTAAAAAACACCAAACACGAATGTGTTTCTGTCTACGTGTTCAACACTTCCTCCTACAATCAAAACACTAACGTGTTAAAAATTCAACATACGAGACCTCTTAACACACCCTAATTTCAACTCTAAACCCTGAGGTACTATTCTGAAAGTGGCTAACTCTAAAGTGTAGCGTCAGAGAGCCTAACTACATCATTCAACCTTTAACACATATTCACCATGATTTAATCTTTACAGTCACACGAATAACAAATTTTTTAACATTACTTTCACTTTTACCATATCACGGTATTTCTTAACATTTAAAATAACAGTTCACATGTATATAAGAACATATCAACATGCCGTTAATTTTACACATTTGAAAACATACATTAGTAGTACATTGTTAACTTCTATTCTTTTCAAAGCAAGTGCCAATTCTTTCTACATTGAAATAATACTACATTTCAAAAAGTCTTTCAGACTAAAACTTCTTTCTTGCTAGAATGTTTTAAATAAAATTTATACAATAACTTTTTACAATATTTAAGTCTTTACACAACGCTATTATACATCAACTTTAGTTTTACGCGCGAGTAATTGAAAAACATAATAAGAAAATCGGTCACAACTCATTTCTCGCCCTTTTGGCGATAAAGGTAGACCTCGCATGAGGTAAAACTTCTTGAAATCTGCCACTTGCAGTAAGAATGAAGAATGAAAGATTAACTTAAGTTTGCAAAGTAACATAAAATTTTACTTATCTTTGTAATATTCGGACATCCTTTTCTGGGCCCAGTCTTTAAAGGTACTGCAGACCGTAGCTTGGTTTATCCTCCTTCTTGTACGGGCTCGCCCTTCAGTGCTTTCCTCTGGAAGCTTCCGTTTTTTCACCAGTACGGCCACCCTTGAACACCTTCCTTTTGTCCTCTGCTTGTGGTCTTGGCCGTTTGAAGGCAGCTGGTCTTGGCGGAACCGGGAAACTTCTGTCGTGATCCTGCTTGGACCTCGTTGTTGGCCGTTCAAATTTTTCTTGTACTTTTTCCTCCGCCGCTGATGGCCCTTCCGCAGTTCGGCGACTTTTGCTGCGGAGAGTTCTGTCGGATGAGTCAGATCTTCCGTTTTACAGCCGGGTTATAGTTGCCGTCATTTCTCCTGGTCCTTTTCCACATACGTCGTCCTTCTCCCTTCTTCATTCTGGGGGGTGTTCGTGAACTCTGTTTTTTTGGACGGTGGAACGGCTTCTTTTTCTTTGTACCTTCAATTTTTCCGCGGGGCAATTTTCTTTTCACTTGCTTCTGTCTCTCATTGGCTTGCCCTTGTACTTGTCGTTTTCCCACCTCTGGAACTTGTACCTGCGGTGTCTGCCGTGCCGGATCCTGCAAAAGATCTGAAAAGATTTGCATTTTATTACGATCGAAGTAGGGCTTTGATTTGATCAATGTTTGCGGAACAGGTTTCACCATTTCTTGCCTTTTAACACTACAACAGCGTGAGTTATTTTTTCTATAACATATGGTCCTTCAAATCGTGGAAAAAATTTGGCAGTTTTATCTTCTGGTGCTGAAGAAAGTGAATGCTTAATTTTTAAAACTTCATCCCCTACTTTATAAGTTACTCCCCGTCGTTTCAAGTCATAATACAATTTTGTTTTCTTTGTGCTACTTCCGTATTCTTTTTTGCTTCTTTTATTAGTTTTTCTATATCACCCATTTTAAATTCTGGGGCTCTTTGTTGCACATAAAATAGTTTATCTAACGGTGTTATAATCTTTCTGCCTAGAAATAACTCAGCAGGAGTTTTGCCCGTTGTATCATGTTTTGCGGTCCTAAGGGCGAAAGCAAATTCATTGACATAGTTATCCCAGCTTTTATGAAATTTTTATTTTTAACATAACTACGGATAATTTTCACTATATTTCTGTTGACCCGTTCCGCTATATTTGATTGCGGCCGATACGGGACCATTTTTAAATGACGTATGCCCAGTTTTTGGCACATGTCTTCAAATATATTACTTACAAATTGAGGACCATTATCCGATATAACTTTTAGGGGCGCCCCGTATTTTAAAATATATTTATTTAAAATAGAATCGGTAACTAATTTCGCGGAGGCTCGTTTTAAGGGAACAATTTCGGTCCATTTACTAAAATGATCAACCATAACAAGGAGATAGCGACTTTTATTTAACTGACTTTTTGGGAAAGGGCCCAATAAATCGATGCCAATTATTTCATTTGGAAATTCGGATTTAATACTATTTAGAAACCCGGCCGGGCGGAAATTAATATAATTAACGGCTTGACATGTTGGGCAGGACTGGACATACGCCCTTGTTAACTTTTGCAGTTCAGGAAAGTAGACTGCCTCGCGTACGCGTTGGATAGTTTTTCGAATACCAGCATGAGAAGCTAAAGGGCTGTCATGGAGCTCTTGCAGGATATTTAATCTAAGACTAGCTGGGATAACAGGTCGAAATTCGTTGTTGGAATTCGTAGTTTTTGTATAAAATAATAGACCATCTATTAGTTCGTAATGGGCCGCCCTATTTCTTATCGCCACAATATCTTGGTGGCTAAAATTTTCAGGATCCTTCAAATACTCATAAATACTTCCAAACTCAGGATCCTTACCCAGTTCGGTTATTACAGTTTCTCGGGAATTTATTGTACACGCTGTCAGCATTGCAACTTTTACGGTATTACCCTGTTCGTCTAATTTAATTCGTGATAGGGCATCTGCTACGATATTTTCCTTTCCGGGGGTATGCTTGATTACCAGATTATATTCTTGCAGCTTGAGTGCCCATCTTATTAACCTTGGGGATAAATTTTTCCCTGAGTACAATCTAGTTACCGCCGCATGATCAGAGTATACTGTTATCGGCGCCTTTCCAAAATAGACTCGGAACTTTTGCACTGCTAACAGAACTGCAAGTGCCTCTCTCTCGGTCGCGGAATAGTTTCTTTGTGTTTGATTTAAAGTTCGGCTAAAAAATGCCACGGGCTGCTGATTTTGCGAAAGTACCGCTCCTACCGCATAATCCGAAGCATCCGCTGAAATTTCTAAATTTTCATCCTTTTCAGGAAATTTCAACACAGGGGCTTGCGTTAATGCTTGTTTTAATTTTTCGAAAGCACTATTGGCTTCGGCCGTCCACGAGAATCTTGCCTTTTTCCTTTTTAATTTTAACAATGGCTCAGCGATAGCCGCAAAATCTTTTATAAAGGACCTATAATATGAACAAAGTCCTAGAAAAGAAGAGAGCTTCTTTGCCGTGTTTGGAGTCGGATACTTTTGTACAGCGATTATTTTTGATTCATCTGTCTCGATCCCTTTTTGCGATATTTTGTAACCTAAATATTTTAATTCAGGGGCTGCAAATTTGCACTTTTCGACATTAACTTTTAGACCGGCCTCATTTAATAAAGAAAACACCTGTCTTAAATCCTGTACATGTTGGTCGAGATTATCACTAGTAATAATGATATCGTCTAAATAGATAAATGTGGACTTTCCAAGAACAGGTCTTAACACAATGTCCATGCATCGCTGAAATGTTGCTGGGGCGCCCTGAAAGGCCAAACGGCATACGCAAAAATGCATAAGTGCCAGACTTGGTTATAAAAGCAGTCTTAGGCACGTCCTCAGGCCTAACCCCTATTTGAAAATAACCATTCGTTAAGTCTAAAGTCGTCATAAATTTGGTTGATTTTATGTTCCTTAAAATTTCTTCTATAATCGGTAACGGATATACCGGATATTTCGTTATGGAATTTAATTTACGGTAATCAATAGCGAATCTCCACCTTTTTGGATGCTCCAAAGGATAATCATTATTTTTCTTACATAAAACCACCGGGCTAGCATAACTACTTGAGATGGGCGTTATGATCTTTTTACGTAGCATATCGGTAATATGCCATTCTATAATTTTTTCCTTATTCTTATCATACCGGTATGGTTTTTTTTGACGAACCGGCAATGCATCTCCGGTGTCAATACTATGGTTAGTAACCTGAGTAAATCCTGGAATATCACTAAATAAGGAAGCAAATTCACTTACCACTTGTCGGATTCTATCTTGCTCGTCATTAGGCAGGTGGTCAAGATTTAACCTTGGCGGTTCAACCTTTTCTACACGCACTGGTTTCATTGTCAGCTTAAGGGACGCTTCATTAAAATCCAGTGTAGCTTGTGCGTCTGAAAGAAAGTCTATTCCTAGATTAAGTGTGCTTGCAAATTCTTTACTATAAAAAACATCACCTTTACTTGTTCGTCCTTGATACGGATGTACAAAGGTACTTTACCTACGCACTTACATTGTTCTCCTTGCGCCGCTAATACTGTCGTATTATCCGCATTATATATGCGGTATTTGCGAAAATACTTTCTAAAAAAGACTTCTGCCACACAGGAACACTGCGCGCCGGTATCCAGGAGTGCGGTGGCCGGGATATTATTCACCAAGACTTCAATCTTCGGAAGAGTCAAATTTTTCACCATTACTGTATTTAACTTGTAGGAAGAGGGGTTTTCGTGGCCTTCGGATTTCCGCACCCTCTCGTCAGCAGAAATCCGTTTTAGTTTAAATTATTTTTCCTTTCCGTGCTTTCCTTCTTTCTCCACTGGCCTTGAGACTTTTTTCCTGGGTTGCTATTGAACTGTCGACGTTCGCCGGCTGTTTTTGAATGCTCGGGTTTCCTTGCCCACTGATTCGCTTTTTCTCCGTAGCCATGTGCTTGAGTTTGCTGTAGTCTTGGCGTACCAAATTGGTTTCGCTGTTGATATTGGCGTCTTCTTTCGACGTCCGCCGTTCTTCTACTTTCAAACTGGATTGCTAGCTCAAATAACTTTTTCCAGTGTAGTCGGATTTCTTAATTCAATAAAGTCTTGCACTTGGGGTAGTAACCTCGGCAAAATCACTTGAATTATTTCAGGATCCGGACGGTTTCCATACAAGACCTTGAAAACGTGAATTTTTCTTAAAATAAAGCTCGAGAGGTTTTCGATTCTTTTTTGATATATACTGAAAAGTTCCGTTTCTAATTTCGCACGATCCCTTACAACAGGGAAGGCTTTTAGTAGGGCAGTCTTGAAATTTTCGTAAGTATAGGTGGGACTTCCTGCTTGACCCAAGAGACTTCTGCCGATACATTTGAACCAGTTAAGCGCTTGGCCCCTCAAAGCGCTGGTAGCTAAGGTAACTTTTTGAAACTCGTGCACGGGGTAGAGCATGAAGTGGTCATCCAATTTTTCCAAAAAACTGGTTACCGGTGAGTTTCCATTAAACGTTGCTTCTGGTTTCATCGAAGCGCGCATGGTCTGGACGATGTACCCAAATCCTTCCAGGGCGGCAGCTGGCATTTCTGGATTCTGAGCCGTTTCTGCAGGCAGCACAGGTTCTTCTTGAAACTCGGCCATGGTTATTCTTCGTCGGGCGCCACTATCAGGTTCAATGTTTCTTCTAACCTTCTTCGGAAACATACAAGGACCTGACTAGGAACAGAGAGCTTACTAAAGCTATGTTCACTAATTGTAGTAAGTAGACAGGATACAGACGAAGGGTATACAAAACCCTTTATTTTTTTCTTTATATACAATGACTTCCGTACTTCGGAATACAATGACCCTCCACTCGGGGTCTAACGTAAAAGATATCAAAATAAAACTAAACTCTAATTTAACTTTAGAATAAGATTGGCCTTATAATAACAGGAAGCGTATGTAGCACAGAGACTGTGAACACTACAATACGTTTAATTTATCAAGAGGATTAAAACCTCTGGCCTGGAAGGCAAAGTAGCAACTGCGTAACTTCTAAGGTAAGCGGCCTGCTTCGAACTCACTGCTTCCTCTCTCTCGCTTGGCAAAAAGGCCACACTTAAATACTTGGCGTTCGCCAGACAAACTTTGCATAAAACTCCTTCACGCTTATAATTCTGGCCGGAAGTAGAAAATAAGAAGTGATAGTAAAGATTTAAAATAAAATAAACGTTTAAGATCCTTAAACTATCCACCTATTGTAAAAGAGGAAACCAAAAATTTGTTCCCTTGCTGCAAAAAGCAATAAAAAAAATATTCAAAGCATTTTTTCACAAATCATCCAAATTTTTAACCGGGCCGTGCGCCGAGTTGGAAGGATACAATTGGTTTTTGCTTATTAAAAAAATTGTGTAATGTCAGGTCGAAAACCCGGAAGCGTGTAGGGACAAAAAGGTCCGTTCGGGAGGACATTGAAGTAGGGGACATGATGTATGAAGATGACATGGACATGATGGACATGAAGTAGAGGACTTTACTCCGGTAGTTCGACCAGAGTTGGTTAAGAAACTTACTAAATTTAATAAAGGGCCGTATAAGGTGGTTGAACAAGTCACTAAGGTGAACTGTAAAATTGAATTAATTCAGAACCCGCATTTAACACGAGTAGAACATGTCAACAAGCTAGCTAAGGTTCCTAATAGCATTAACTTTCCTTCTCTACATAGTTGCGACAATATTGCTCCTGGGAAGCTGTGCAAAACAGAATAGTGGAATTCTTTATAATATGAGGCGGAGAGATTCCCAGAGTTCCGCTGTCCATTAATTCATGACTTACGTTTATACCAGGGCTTCTTAAACTTTTGTCATTTACGACCCCATTTATGATTGCGAGTTTCTTGACGACCCCATACAAATATAAAAGAAAAATAAATTAATATTTTTTGATGATTTATTTATTAGGTAACAATATACATATACATATGAAAATATATAAGTTTAGAATTCGTTTTGAAACATACAAAAATCTAAAATTAAAAATTGCACAAAAAATTATAAAATTGTATTTATTATAGTTTCAAAAATAAAAGTGGATTCTGACCTTCTTAATTCTCTCGAATATATTCAAGTAGTTGCGTGGTAAGTATTAAATTAAAGTATAAGTAAAAAATTTAATGAGATGGATGTGCCTGTTTTTTATTGCATAACAAATCAAATCTTGGTGGAATACGATATTGGGATTTAATATGTGTTAAAGCTGAGAAAGTAACTTCACATAAATATGTGGTGTTGAATGGCAGAAGTACATTTAACGCCATATCAGCGATTGTGGGAAATTCAGTTCTAGTTCCGATCCAGAATTCAGTCAAGGGCTTTTTTTTTTTTTTTTTTTTTTTTTGAAATTGTAGTTTTAAGTTTGAGTCACTCGAAAGCTCAGCAAATTCCTCTTGAGCTTTAAGTGGCAGGTGATCAATCTCACTTAAGCCAATCCAAAACGGCTTTTGAATCCAAACTATTTTTTGGAAATCAATATTTAATTTAAAATATGTCCGGAACTGTATTTCTAGCGCTTTTAAGTGATCTACAATAATTTTTGCAATAAAAGTTTTACAATGAATTTTCTCGATTACAAAATTGTCGACACTGGAAAACATTTCGAACGAATTTTTTTCGACCCTACTTTTCCAAATGTTGATCTTTTTAATAAAACTTTCAATTTTATCATTTGAAGTAAATATATCGCAATATTTTCCTTGAAGAGACAAGTTGAAATCGTTTAACTTCTCAAAAATTTCTGACAAATAACACAGCTTGGATAGCCATAAGTCATTTTGAAAAAAAGCAGCAAGTTCACATATTCGTTCGGTTAAAAATATTTCGATCTCGTCCTTTAATAACAGTAATCTTCTTAAACTTTGACCTCTTGACAACCATCTTACTTCTGCATGTAATAACAAAGTTGTGTAGTTGGAATCCGTATCCTTACAGAGATTTGAAAATAAGCGACTGTTAAGGGCGTGGCTCTTAATAAAATTTATGATCTTAACAGCATCCTGAAGCACATCGTTCAATTCTGGTGCTAATTTTTTTGCTGCAAGAGCCTCTCGGTGAATAAGGCAGTGAGTAAAAGTTATATGATCATAATGAGCAGCTTGAAAAAATGATTTAAAACCAATATTTTTGCCCGTCATCGCTCTTGCACCATCTGTGCATATTCCACAGCAATTTTTCCATTCTAAACCTTCTGCTTTTAAAAATTCGTCAACTTTACAATATATGTCTTTCCCTGTAGTATGGTCTTCCATAGGACGACAAAATAACAATTCTTCCTCCACGCTTTCTTTATAAACGTACCTGACATATACTAACAACTGAGCCAATTTAGTAATATCAGTTGTTTTGTCCAACTGAATTGAAAATTTTGGGCTTTCTTTAATTCTTGTAATAAGTTGTATTAATTGATCCATGTTAATATCAGAAATTCTATTCGAGACAGTGTCGTTCGACAAAGGAATTTTTCGAATATCATCGCCATATTTTCTTCCATGTAGTATTTCTACCATTTTAATAGCAGCAGGTAACACAAGATCTTCTCCAATGGTGAACGGCTTTTTATTTTTAGCAATACAGTATGAAACTTCATATGACGCTAGTAAATATTTTTCATTAACAGTTATAAGTTTTTCAAAGATTTTCTTTTCTTTATTTAAAGATTTCAACAGTCTTTCAAAATATTCTTTTGGTTTATTGACATACGAAACATGCTTTGATTCAAGATGTCTTTTTAATTTTGATGGTTTCATACTCTCCGAAGCCAATAATTCATTGCAGATCAAACAAAGAGGTTGTTCATTACCCTCACGATTTTGAAATGTAAAGCCAAATTGAAGAAAAGACTCATCATATTTTCTTTTTCGCACATTAGATGCCTGTTTTCCAATACTTTGTCCTGCCTGAGAAGAGTTTGTAGCATTATCATCTGCGTCATTACCATTCTTCTTTAAGTTCAGCCATTTATCCATGGCCAAAAATTATTTTGATCCTAAAATAAAATAAATGTATAAAAATAACATATTGCAGATAATAATTGATTTATTAATTACCGAATAAATAAAAAAACTAAAATCTTGTTACGGGGGACACTGACAATTGACCACACTAGAAGAGCGTCAACACTCCACTAATTCACATTACAGTCAGTGTAGGCTAGTTTACACAAGCGTTTTAGTCAATGCGAGTTACGGAGTGTTATGAAAATTCGCTTAAAAAGAATAAAATTCACAAATTTTTCAACGGGTTTTACAAGTATTTATGTGCGCTTTTTTATAAGAGCCCCACAGACCGGTTTGGTTAATGCGTATTTGCCAGCGCGTGTATTGAATCATTGTTTAGCTGCAGGTTGCACGTGTGTACGCGCGCGCATTCCTCCCTTGTGGGAAGTCAGCGGCGGGCGGTTTATTCAACATGTATGATACCGACAAACGCACTAACAATGTATAGCCACAGTATAATAATAGCGATCATCGATCGTTTACTGCTGTCGGTGGAGATAGCTCAAAACCTTCAACAAATGCGCGTGTCTAGACGCTGCAAGTCCACTGTATTCCGCCAACTCTAGTGATGTTATAAAATGGTATATATATATTATATATAAATATTTGACATTACTTTTGGCACAAGGGTTTCGATAAGTCTTTCTTCTTGAATTTCTGCAAGATTCCCGAGATTTTTTTCTCTTTCTCTTTTTGCCTGTTTTGGAGTCCTGATCATACCGTTTTTCGGGTTTTTCGATGTGATTGTCTGGGTTCGAGTTTTGTAGGTTTCCCTTTATAACGGAATATTTTTTTTTGCTTTGTTCGAATGTAATTTTGTGTCTTATATTTTTTATTCGTCTGCTTGAGTAAATTATTGTATTGTTTACTTTGTGCGTATTGCGACGCGTTATCTTTTGTTTTTGCAATTATTATTAAATTTTATTTTATTACTTGATATTTTTCTCAGCTACGGGTATTTAAGTTTCATTAAACTATAGTTTTCTACTTTGAAGGGAAGTTTACTCGCAGTATTTACCTCTACACTGAATTGTTGTGTTTCTTCTTACGTCGTGGCTGAAAAAGGGGGGTGTGGCGTTTGGTTGCGCGTATGTCCAGTTTCTTCTTCGGGTAAATTTCTATTTAGGCGCGTAATGCATAATTGTATGTTGTGCATCTTTGCTTGTCACTTCTGAAAGGGAGCCGCTGACTGTGAAGGGACCAGGACTTAGAAAAGAAGGGCTAGATCATTGAGCTTTTCACCCTGAAGCAGAAAGGGAGAACAAGGACCTTGTAAGAGATAGATTAACCCAGTGGGCGGGGCGCGCGTCACCCACATGTCCGCAAGAAAGAGTAGGGACGAAAACCCTACCTCTGCCACGTCTAGAATTATGTTCGGCTTTATTGCTAGCAAATTTTTTGCATGCAATCTTAAGAAGTTTTCCTTTACCAGTTAAACGCATCATAACTTGGACAGATTCAACGATAACGCTGGCGCGGCTATCTTTTTAACCTTATCGCTGACGGTCAATATTCAGACAATTATTCCTCAAAAAATGGAGTCATGTTTTAATAATCGATAATCTGGCGGACCTAGGTATGTTATCTTCTCAACTAACAAATTGTAATAAATGGTTCAAAGGTCCTGACTGGTTAAACAAACCTATAGATTAAATAGAGAACTTTCCATTTCTAGAGACACTTTTTCTTCCTGAAATTGCCTTGAAAGAAGAAAAGAAGTGTTTTAATATCAGTGTTTTAAGAGTTCAAGAACTTGCTGTTATTTAAACGAGCTGTTATTTATCGAGTCTTGGCCTAGGAATATTTGTTCTTATCCTGAGAAGAAATCGTTAGATTTCCTAACTGCAGAAGATCTCGAGAAAGCAAAAATCAAATTTCTAAAGGTGATTCAATGTTCTGAATTCCATGAAGAAATTTCGCATTTACTTAGGTCACTCCCCTCGAAGACGAGTAGTATGATCCCTCTGCTTAAATCCATTTCTAGACAAAGAAGGTGTTTTGCGAGTCGGTTGTCGTTTAAGGAATTCTAATATTTTGGAAAATTCCATTAACTATTTCTATCACTTTTTATAACATTTTAATTTATTGGTATTTCTTTATTTATTATTAATTTAGCTTAATTTATTAATATTTTTATCTTTTTGTATTTTATTTATTTTAGTTGTCAATTATTTAACTTTTTATTAATTATAATTATATTGATTTATTTTTGTTCACTCCCCGATTACCTGTCACAGAGCTCCGATATTTCTAATTTTAAAAATTATTCCTTGCTTAAACTGCACTGAAATTCCTGTTTAATATAAAAAGCTATGATTATTTTTATATCACATTAAAAAAGAAGATAAGTAAAAGAGAACTGTAATCAAAGTTTGATAAATTTCAGGCAATTTACTGTGCGTGTTTTTCTAGTTTTTTAGTATACTCTTTGCTGTTAAGATACTTCTATGTGAGCATTTATTTATGGGAAGTTTTGTTGCGATATTGTTCAAAAATTGTACTGTACCTATAAAGGTATTAAACTTGGAGTATATTATAATATGGGGGAAAATATAATTGGAAGAAAACATAAAAAATAGAATGTAATAGAAAAGGAAGCTTAAAAAAGCTTATTTTAGCCTGAACTGCTATCGATGAACTTTATACCTATTGAGTTACTAAGCACGTAAAAAAAAAATTCATGAGCATTAAGTTTATAAATTGAGCTGTTAAGCAAAAAAGTACTTTATATCTATTAAATTATTATGAGCGTGACATTCTGAATAGCAATTAATAATGTATTTTAAAAATTCAAATGTGTGATAGCATAGTTATAAAGCAACCTACTTTGTTGCCACTTGCTATTTCTGCAAACTTAATCATTGCATATATCTTACATTTAAACTTTAAACTCATTTCCTTTTCTTTGATGTTTACACTCAAAAAAAAATCTTAACTTTATCTTACTGTAATAAAATAGTTCTAAAATTAAATTAATATAAAAGCATTTTATAAGAATTTTGGTTACTTTAATATATGCATACATAAGAATATATATGTAAATATTTACTAATGTATTTCGAATTGAAGTATACCGTTAACTGAGGAGATTTAATAGTCTCGCGCCACGCAGAACATCAGCTATTTAACTCTGGTGATTCTTTGAGATGCGGTAATGTTTGAATTATGCAGAAGGCCGCCGAACGGAATTTCAAGGCTTTTATTGCATGTAAGTCAATTTTTAAATTGATTTCTTTTCATCTAATTCAGTAATACAAAAGTGGTTAATGATTCTTTCTATTTGGAGGAAAACCTGACAGAAAATGGAAACTAGAATTCGATCAGATAGTGTGCTACAGCGTCGCAGGCAAATTAGCGTCACTGGAATAACAACTAAAGAAGATGTAGATGAAATAAGAAAAAGCTTTAACAGATACATTCACTATTATCTCATTAAAGACAGGAACGTAGCTACTATTCGAGACTATTATTGTTCTCTAGCTTATACTGTGAAAGATCATTTAGTCAGCCGCTGGATAAGAACCCAGCAACAGTATTATTCTACTGATCCTAAAAGAGTTTATTATTTATCTCTGGAATATTATATGGGAAGGTCCTTAACAAACGCTATGATAAATTTAGGCATTAAAACTATTTGCGATGAAGCTTTGTATCAACTCGGTCTAGATCTAGAAGAATTAGCAGATATTGAAGAAGATGCAGGATTAGGAAATGGAGGTCTTGGTAGACTGGCTGCCTGTTTCTTGGATTCAATGGCCACTTTGGGCATACCAGCCCATGGCTACGGCATTCGCTATGAATATGGAATATTTGCGCAAAGAATTGAAAATGGAGAACAAAGAGAAGATCCCGATGATTGGCTAGCATTTGGTAGTCCATGGGAAAAGGACAGACCGGAATATGTGAAAGAAGTTAATTTTTATGGCAAAGTTGTCAAAGACGCAGACGGTTATAAATGGGTTGATACTCAAGTAATAAATGCTATACCTTATGATTATCCTATTCCTGGTTTCGAAAATAATGTAGTTAATACTATGCGTTTATGGGCGGCAAGATCACCAACAAGTTTCCATCTCAGGTTTTTTAACGACGGAGATTACATCAACGCCGTTTTAGATAGAAATGAGGCTGAAAATATTACTAGGGTTCTTTATCCAACGGATAACTTTTTCCGAGGTAAGGAACTGCGATTGAAGCAGGAGTATTTTTTAGTTGCTGCAACCATCCAAGATATTATACGCCGATATAGAACCTGTAAATTTGGAAGCACACTTCCTGTTCGAAATTCGTTTGAAGAATTTCCCGATAAAGTTGCTATTCAGTTAAATGATACCCATCCATCTCTAGCAATTCCAGAGTTAATGCGAATATTTCTCGATGTAGAACATATTTCTTGGGAAAAAGCGTGGGATATAACTGTGCGAACTTGTGCATATACCAATCATACAGTATTGCCTGAAGCACTAGAAAGATGGACAGTGAGAATGTTTGAAAACCTTCTTCCTCGTCATTTGCAAATTATTTATGAAATAAATGCCAGGTTTCTTCAAGCAGTTAAAGAAAAATGGCCAGGAGATAACGAGCGATTGCGAAGGATGTCACTTATCGAAGAAGATGAACCAAAGAGAATCAATATGGCTCATTTGTCCATAGTGGGATCTCATGCTGTCAATGGTGTGGCTGCTATTCATTCGGAAATTTTAAAGAAGGATCTTTTCAAGGATTTCTACGAAATGACGCCAAATAAATTTCAAAACAAAACAAATGGTGTAACTCCTCGACGCTGGATCCTTCTTTGTAACCCCGATCTTTCTGATGCTATTTTTGAGAAAATTGGAGGCGACTGGGTCAAACATTTGGAATACTTGCAACAGCTGAAGGACTTTGTCAATGATATAGATTTTATAAAAACTATTATCAAAATTAAAGAAACAAATAAGATTAAGCTAGCTAATTATCTTTTTCAGTATTATGATATACGAATTAATATCAAATCAATGTTCGACATTCAAGTAAAGAGAATTCATGAGTATAAGAGACAATTATTGAATTGTTTGCATATTATCACAATGTACAATAAAATTAAAAAAGATCCTGATGCTCCGTTTGTGTCCCGAACAGTGATGATTGGAGGAAAAGCAGCTCCAGGATACCATGCAGCGAAAGATATCATTAGGCTTATTTGTGCAGTGGCAGATGTTGTGAATAATGATCCTGTCATAGGGAACAAATTAAAAGTAGTTTTCTTAGAAAATTACAGAGTAACGTTAGCTGAGATTATTATACCTGCTGCTGATCTTAGTGAACAGATCTCAACAGCTGGAACAGAAGCTTCAGGAACTGGTAATATGAAATTCATGATGAACGGTGCTTTGACCATAGGCACTTTGGACGGAGCTAACATTGAAATGAGTGAAGAATTGGGTGGCGAAAATATATTTATATTTGGTATGACTGTGAATGAAGTTGAAGAAATGAAGCGTACAGGTTATGATGCCTGGTATTATTACAATACGATAGATGATTTGAGGGAAATAATTGATCAGATTAATAATGGTTATTTCTCTCCTCAACATCCGGACACTTTTAAAAATCTTATTTATTGTTTAATGAACCATGATCGTTATTTTGTACTAGCTGACTACGAATCATATATAAAATGCCAAGAAAAGGTTAGCGAAATATATACTAAACCGCAAGAATGGGCAAAGATGGCAATAATGAATATTGCATCATCCGGGAAGTTTTCAAGTGACAGGACTATTACCGAATACGCAGCTGAAATATGGGGTGTAACACCAACTTACAAAAAGTTTCCAGACCCAAAACTTCCTAGAGATGCTTAATAATGCCAAAATTTATGAAAATCTTGTATAAATTATCTGTGTAAAGTAATCTAAATTAGTATTGAACAAATTCATGCGATGGCAGTTTTCTTTGAAGCATAAAAAGATTTCAATAAATGAAATTCGGTGGCAGTTTATTTGTTCTCTTATTTCTAATGTTAATAAATTTCGTAATTATATTCCTTATTATTACACTTACACTATAACTCCTTGTAATTTATAATGATAAAATACCATTAATTTGAATATTTTAGTCAGCAATTTTAAAGAAGAGTCATAAGGTATTTCTCAAACCTTCATGGCATGCCTTCGGGGTGTGGTGGTCTGCACGCTGTGCGCGTAATTCCTGGCGAAAGCGTTGCTAATTTTTCATCTTGCCTGCTTCCAAAAAGGTATCTAATGTCTCTACAGTGGCGCTCGAACTAAAAGGGTGCTGGATGATGTTTCTCCACAACCAGGATTTGGCGATTGGGTCCCTTAAAAACCCCAGTCGCCCTTTAAAAGGGGGAGTATATAAGGTACCTCTTCCACCTTCTTTGCATGCCTTCGCGGTGTGGTGGTCTGAACGCTAGGCGCGTATTCCAGAGGTCGGCGGTTCAATTCCCGGCAAAGGCGTTGCTAACTTTTCATCTTGCCAGCTTCCAAAAAAGTGCCTAATGTCTCTACAGAGTTTTCTCGAAGAATTCTTATCTCATATAGATTACTTTATTCCAGAAGATATAAAATAATAATCCTAATAGACATTATAGAAACTAATAATGTGCAACGAGAATTGGCGACATATGATTGATTTAAGGGACTTTGCTTCCTTTTGTTTAACAAGACCTTTCTCTTAAGCCTAAGAGTAACTGCAATTGGCAAAGTTTTCTCTTCCTATATTATTTATAAGAGTTTAAAAAATACTCATCTCAACAGAAAAAAAAATTTCTTTCATTTTATTTGTAATAATGAATTTAGATTCTGAATTCATTAGTTTTCATACTACAAGAATTAGTTAGTTAATTTTTTCATTTCATCCATTACTTAGAACCTACATGTGCTTTACGTAAGTTTAAGTTTTGTGATATTTTTTTTCCTCTTACGTATGAAATTCGCAATTCGATATTTAAAGACACCATTTCAGATATGAAAGACTGAGATATGCATAGTATTCTTTGCCAGTTAGTTTGATATACATTGAGAAAATACAGCCTTAAAATTTCATAATAAAGAACATGAGACTTATGTTCAGAATAAAGAAATTCATGAATCCTTTATTTCCCATCACTGCTGTTGAAAAAACATTCCATTTTCGGTTTCCCTGCTTCAAAAACCATCTTGTATTGGCGAATTAGGTTTCCCACAACTGTTTTGCATCCACAAAAATCTTTCGATTATGGTTAATGATTTAAATTCTAATCCCTCTTTACCAGCAGCTTTCCGAGAATTTTAGTTGCTTTACATATTTGATCAATATGCGTCACCGCAAGTGGGTTTGTTTTCTATCATTTAGCTGGAATCGAGGAGATTCCAATGCTCTTTTGCACGTATATATTTCTCTCTCGCCATTGTTACTCCAGCAGCTAAAGAGGCAGATTTCAATTAGCATTCGAAAATACAGTCCTGTAAATTTTCTTATATTACACTGATAACTGTTGCGCATTATAATTTCTGTAACATTCTGTCAAAATGTTCAGGGTGGAAATATATGAGCGTTAGGTAATTTACTGCGCGTGTTTAGTATTAATCGTTGCCATTTTTGCATACTCTTTCTTTTCGTGTGTACAAATCTGTTTAATTCACTTTAAGGGTACACAGTATTTTTTTTTTTTTTTTTTTTTTTTTTTGAGAAAAAGGTATGAAAATAAAAATAACAACAGTTTATACAAAGTACGTTATCGCAATATGCTCGATAGTGACGTAAAGTCTGAAAAACCTACTAGTTGTGTTGTAATGCAAAAAATATGTTAGAGGTCAAACGAGCCTGTCAAAGAGGTTTGGACTATGCCTTCGCCCAACAATGTGTCTTCTTGTAGAATAAATTGAGTAACTAATGGCATCGAAGAGTTTTTGTATTTGTGACGCTAATTTTTTACAATTAATCGAGACGAATTAATGGATTTCTCATTCTTACAGGCCCGGGAGTGACTAAGTGATTCAATTAAAAACAGCATTAATTTTGCTTGGCATTCGATTTCTTGGCGGAACTGGTTGGTTTCATTGGAATCTCTATATTTCCTTACTGTGTTATGAAATTAGGAAACTCTTTTTTATATAAAATAGACATTCGTTTCTTAAATAATTTTCTTTAACGACAAATCAATATCATTAGCAATTTCCTTATTTACTTTCGAATTTATCCTTTTGCTTAAAGGATTTAGTCTTAAAATTAAAACCTGAAACTGCAATTGAAACTCTTTGCTTTGTTTCAACTTCATTTCGAATAAACTTCATTAAATCTTCAAGGTGATCTTTTGGTGCTTCTTCGATTGATTGTTTTTGCCAGACTTTTAACAATTCTTCTGGAAAACAGGATTCAGCCAACCGAAACAGAATTGCATTGTATGTTTCAGTTCCAACACCTACAGATTTTAACATCCTCAAATGAGATTCTAATCTGTCATACAAAGTTGGAAGGTAAGAAATGGAATTTGTCTTGGTGTTTTGAACGACTAATGACAAAATTTCTGTAATGTAAGCTTCTATTAAAAAATCTTTTTTTTTTTTTTTTTTTTTTTTTTTCCCAAATCTTAATCTTAAAGCTTATATTGCCGTCGGGTAATTATCTGCCGTCCCAGGACAACTACCTACTAATTCTCTAGAGCAAGAATTTATCACAGTTGATAGGATAAGATACTAGAATTTATCCGCAGGATCTACATTATCATCTCCCTGCATTTTTTTTTTTTTTAAATAAGGCCCAAATGGCAACTAATCTTTAATATTTCCATCAAATTTCTTGAACTCAATTCACGGAAGTTTAAACGTTCGTTTTTGCAAAATATTTACACTACCAGAAGAATTTGCTACGTATCAACATCAGTTTCTTTATTTTTAACCCAAAGGGCTGGTAGCCCAGAAGGGGTATAGTTTCGAAACGGTATTTTGAGTTGTTTCACTGTAAATGTCAGTTTCACTTTTCGAATTGTTGCCTCCAAACATCGACTCCAAACATTATATTTAAAGAAATTAAATAATGAAGAATCTGCATCAATGTATCTGCATCACTGTGAAAAAACGACGGTACCTAGAGCTATGAAATTTTGAATAACGTCATCCTACACCCGAACCATGGAAACCTCGACGCCCGACACACGAAACGCAATAATATCACACGAATTTTTTACTAACAGATTCAACTATTTCAAAGCGAGAAATGACAACATTAAATGAAAAAAAAAAAAAAAAAAAAAAAAACATTTTTATCTCCAGCGCGCGAAATTGTGTATTGGAAATTCTAACGATATGCTGTTTTGAAATATTTTGTGATATTGCTCTTGAATTGAATATCATGCAATTTAAGTGCGAAGAGCGTGACATTTAATAAACGAAGGTAACACAAAAACGTTAAAAAAAAGTCCCTTTGTGCGTAATATAAAATTTCAAAGCTTACGGATTTTATTTTATTTTATTATTTTTATTTTTCATTTATTTTATCTGAAATTATTTTTAATCTTAAAACAATTAGTTAAATAATGTTCAACAGACTATCTTTCATTTTCGAAGTCCTCTTCTGTCTTGTTAACTTCTAACATTTTGTCCATTATATGATTATCCAAGTTCTGTAATTCTTCAGATTTTTTCCTTAAAATTTAAAATTTTGATTGTATTTCGATAAAATCACCAAGATCCCCTTTCTTGATGACTTCTTATACCTCATCAATAATCCTTGTGAATGAATTTCTTGCCCATTACATCGATTTGATGATCATTTCCATGTTAGAAATAGTATCCTATATCCGACGCCATATAATGGAAATCTATGATCATTACTCTCGTTAGAACAGATTCGACTGAGTGACATAATGTGGCAAAAAATATTCTTCATACCAGTAAAACTTTACCTACAGAAATACAGGTTCGTAACGAGTTACGGTTTCATATACAGACCTCTCTTCGCCCACGTGTTTGAGAGCACATTAATTTTTAATGAATTTTCTTTAACGTATTTAATCTGTTGTTATTTTTAATCTGTACTTATTTAATCCGTATTTATAGAACTATTTTTTGATTGGGCATCTCCTTATTCATTATCCATTACTTATTCAATTTAATAACAACAACTCAATGCGGTTGAATAACACTGAGCTTAGACTATCAACTACAACTTGGCCGAAAGGCAGAACACACTCCTTTAGGCTCTTCTTTGAAGTGACTCAGACTTCAGCTTAAATATTCGTTTCTACTTCATTTATATCAACTGAAATCCCGAAAACTCATTCTGGCAGGGAAAAGTAGGTGGGGAACGAAAAGGGAAAGGAAAAACTTCTTCTAAAATTAAAATAACTATTATGAAAGTAAAGCAGGCCACCCTACACTATAGCAGGCTTCAGTTAAACTCTCGCCATCAGAAGCTATGGAAACGTTCTAGCAGCTCACCCCGGATGTTAAAAGGTTGTCTCATCTCACTTTTTAGAGCTGCCCATCAGAAACAAGGGAAATGCTGTCCTTGTAGTACTTCATTGATGGCGTCCGAGATCTTGAGATGCAGAAAGCCCTGCGAATGGCGGATGTCAAGGATCTAAAAAGCACTTTAGAATACGGAATGAAGTTCGAGGCATAACAGCAAGCAACTCGACAGCCACCCAATCATTTCTTATCACATTTCAGTATGTTTTGAAAGCAAAGATTTGAAAAGGAATATCTTTAGCGAACCTCTGTTTCTGTTATGAGCAAATTCAGATTCGAGAAGATCATGTTGTATTGAATCTTGGATAGTACGTAGTGATCTAAAGTGAAATGGGGGAATTTTTAGATATAGATAGAGATGATTCCATTCTTCAAAAAACGGTCGGCTGGCAAAATCTTTCGGAGCTGAGAGAATATATCTCAGAATTTAAAAAAAAATTATTTTGAATAACTTTTAATAAATCATTCAAAATAAACTATATTACTTTGATAATCTTGGGATTTCAGAGAACTCTTAG